GGACACTGGTCCACGGCCACCTCTGAAGCCACTGGCAGCTTCCATCACACCTTGCTCTGCCATTAAAGGCCAAGTCGCCGGTGATCGAGCGGCCAAGTGAAAATCGTCGCAACAAACTAATCTGTGCCTCACGGTTTCTCAGATCGAGGAATTCCGTGTGATTCCTCCGATTAAGAATCGCTAATCCCCGTCTCACAAATCAATCCCACCAACAAAACTGGAGCAAAGCTTGTCTCGAAACCCAGATTTGTGCCGACGTAAACCTTAGTCTTCGAAGCTTGTGTGCAGAGCAACCCTCCTTCACACAAACGTCCGTCTCAAACTTTCTGCCAACAAGAAGACCAAACCTCCTGCACTCGCCGATAGTTTCGTCTACCCCTCGCCGACTCAAAGAGGTTCGCCGCCTTCAACGCTGTTCAAACTTGCGCCTAACCTAGGCTACCGTCCGCTTACGAGAAATATTTATGAGTATTAGTATTAAATTATAAAATTAACACAATTGCAACACTTCCATTTTCACATTTGACAACACACAACTTTGACATTAATATATTTAATTCTCTAATTGTAAAAATTTCAAAAAATTCACATTTTGATAATTTAAAGCTTAGTTTAATTATATTTTCTTAATTTTTTTAATGTATTCGTCAATAAAATATAGTCAATGTAGAGCATATGAATAGTTTAAAATTTCTAATGTTGTCATTATTTATGAACAAAGGTAAAATATATTATCAGGGCCGGCCATAAGGGCAGTTAGCCTAGGCCACTGCCTAGGGCCTCCGATATTTGGAGCCCTCATTTTAGCTCATGTTTAAATATATACAGTACTCCAGTTGCCTAATTATATTGCTGTCCTGCTGTCCTGATTTTATTTCTTCACGATCATATGCCCTTTTTTAATTAACAACTTCATAATGCTTTAAGTATGTAATGATTGTTTTTACTAATTATTGTTAATCGTTTTGCACTTATAGTTATATTTGTAATCCTCTTAATCATTTAGTTAGTTGGTGACTAATATTTTATAATTATAACTGTAATTGTTAGTTTTTACTACATATTTGTTAATGATAGTTTTTCTATTAATTACTACCTCCGTCCCACTAAGATTGGGAAAAGAGAAGGTGATACGATTATTAAGAATAGTGGTTTTGTGTGGTTGATATTAAATTGATAAAGTAAGAATAGCGTAAGAATGATTTAGAGCCACACAAACTTTACCAAATTTGGTATGGGACAATCTTAGTGGGACTTCCCGAAAAGGTAAAATGAGACAATCTTAGCGGGACGGAGGGAGTATATGTATAAATATGCTAAATATATGGATTATTGAGAAAAAAAGTACTTCTTCCATTCCTAAACAAATGCAACGATCAACTTTTCACATTTTCCAATGTACAGCTTTGACCATTAATACATATAATTCTCTGTTAGTAAAAAAAGAAAAAAATCAGATTTTGAAAATTTATCATGAGACAAATCTAACAATATTTTTTTTATAAAAAAATATTAATACATCAATAAATAAAACGTAGTCAAAATCAAATATGTGAATAGTGTAAAATTCAACATTTTGGACTTATTTAAGAGCGTAGGTAGTATAAGTTATTTTTGAGTGTAGACTATAGTGACGATCCTACTAGTTTTGCACTTCAAAATGTAAGGAGAACTGCCTATTTAGAAGTACACGTTTTAGAGCATTTTATATGCCACGTATGTTACATATAAAATTTTATTGTTTTAAAGTGCACAATGTATGCTATGTTTGTATTTATCTTATTTTCTTATGATTGCTTGTTATAGAAATTACCTTTAATATGATATGTGAACGTTAAAATTTTTCCGCCTAGGGCCTCCAAAACGCTAGAGCCGACCCTGTATATTATACTCGTATCACACAACTATAATCTCCTTGTTTCAGAGAGAAGTAATCTTTTATGTCAACAAAGACCAACCTAGTGATTGACAAGGTCTAAATGTCTAATAGGTTTGGAATAGGGTAAGGGGATGAGATAGTTTCAAAGTACGGCCAAATTACCAAACTAGTAAAAAAAGGGATGTTGGACAGATTGGTAAAAAAACCAATTGAGACAAATTGAAAAAAAAAAAAACCTAGTGACAAATTGGTCAATTTTTTGAGAGTAAAAAAACCAAGTTTGTCACTCTAAAAAAAATTGACCAATTTGTCACTAGGGCTTCTTTTTTTTATTACCAATTTGTCTCAAATGATTTTTTTTACCAATCTGTTCAACAACCCTCTTTTTTTTTTCAATTTGGTAATTTGGCCTTCAAAGTACAGTTCTTTTAATAATACTCCGTACAAAAAATTGATATCATCTTGAATACATATACTGATATACTCCGTATATAATAGTATAGCACATGTATAAGTAAATGTACAAAAATAGAAAAGAATGGATTGCAAAATTAATAATTCCAATATGCCGTAGCCACGGTCTAGGTTATTCACTATAATTCTTATACGTGCAAAACGTGATAAAATATAATACGGAGTATAACATATTGAGTATAATATAACAATTTTTCGGGATGACACGAGATACTTCGATTCAAGACAGTTCTCACTTAAGAGTATCGTACCATATTATTCGGTACGATTTGTTACGATATTACATTTTTCCGGTTTTGATACAATTCAGAACGGTTCTTTGGTGAGAAACGGGAAATCCCATATCCACACTAGTTTGGAATCCGAATTGAAATTGGATGTGGTTGTGGTTCTATTATAATCAGACAAGTAATGGTGCAATTCCAATTCTGGTAAAGTTGAAATTTAGTTAAAAAAAAATGATAGACTAAAAATATGAAGTTCCAAATAGGATTAATTATGATTTATTGTAGAATACTCCCTCCGTCCCACTAACAATGGGACAAGAGGGAGCGACACACAAACTAATAAAAAGTGATTATGTGATTGATATTGAATTAATAAAGTAACAATAAAGTAAGAATGATTTAGAGACACATAAATTTTACTGAATTTGGTATGAGACAATCTTAGTGGGAAAGATCGAAAAGGTAAAATGGGACAATCTTAGCGGGTAGGAGGGAGTATAACTTATTTAGTCTAAGAGCGGCAGTGCCTGGCGATTTGGTCTAGGGTTTTGGCGACCGGCGGCCGGCGAAAGGTTGATGGTGCGTCGTGGTTGCTGTTGTCATGGTCCGGAAAGATAGTGAATACATGGAACACAATAACACCTATGTAAGCAAGTTTGCACGTAGGTGGCCTAGTGATTTCGGTCTAGATGCTTGGTGAGCGTCGACGTGTCTGGCTGAAGGCTTGGTGGTGCGGGGCAGTTGCTGCTGTGGGACATGAAGATTGTGGAAGGCTCTGAGGGCGACACAGCAAATGAGATGCAAACCTTGAATGGCAAAACCAAAAAGAGATCTGCTCCAGCCTCCAGTCATGATGAGCGGCCATGTAACTATGTAAGTAACATGAAGAGGTCGGAGACGGAGAGGGATGAGTGGATGACAAGAGATAAACAAGTAAGATGAAGTATTGACGATCCGCCCCCCCTCCCAAACTGCCACCTTGGAGTGACCGCAGGGCCAGAGATTGGAAGTCGGCGTTTCAAGGTTAGATTTGGCCACCCACGATTTTGTATTCTATTAATACTTGTGTTTTGGATGAGTTTTGAGAACGTTAAATGTTTTGTTGTCGGGAGAGGAAATATTTGGCTTCTAGGGCCGACTGTTGCATCGAATCTATCGCATGTCCGGCAAAAAATGTTGCTCGTTTTAACTTTTAAAGAACCATTTGATTATGTGAGAGCTAGGACTAGGAGGAGAGATGTTTTGTATTGTGGTTAGGTTTTCAATGTTTTGGAAGATTATTTATATAATAGTTAAACGTTATGCTTTTAAAAAACTTATTTATTCTTTTGCTAAAAGAATTAAATGTTAAAAACATTTCAAAATATGAGTGAATATGTTTTCTTTGAAAATAATGATACCCCTTTTAAGAAAATTAATATGCTATTTTTTACTCATTTTCTTTTTAATTAAAAAAGTGTGTGCCACGTTTTACTCAGGGTTGGTTTGCAACTGCTTTTAAAAAAGCACTTCTCAGCTTTTGGCTTTAAAAAAGCACTTATTTTCCCAAACACTACAACTTTTATTTTTCTCGGCTTCCGCGTCAAAAGTGCTTTTACTTTTTCTATTACACAAAAAGCACTTATTTTACCAAACACTACCCACTTTTACTTTTCAAAATCACTTTTTTCTCAAACACTATCAACTTTTATTTAATCACTTTTCCCCATTTCATTTAAAAAAGCACTTTTTTAAAAGCAGAAGCTGTTGCAAACAGACCCTCATTTCTTTACTCCCAAAACAAGAGACATCAAAACCACTTGAAAAGTTGAAAGGTGCTTGACAAACTATAGACTACTTTATTATGTGTATTAAGCTTTTAGGGTGATGGAACTATAGCTGCAACACCTCGACCCTATGTCATTACTCCCTAACATTGCCCGACCCAGTTCTGGACTGGGCCGGACCGTCGAACTAGGTCCACGGTCCACCTCTAAGTACTCTAGTACCGTACTCACAAACCAACATAAGTCTTTTACCGCACACTTTGTCCTCACTTCTACATGCCCTAAAAAACTTAAAGTTCTTAAAATCACACACAAAACTACTCCCATGCAAACACACTTAACTTGAAATTTTTAGAAGATGAGCTCCTTAAAAGAAGATATACCTCATTGATATGAGTAGTAATATTAATCCTTTAAAGCCAATTTCAAGTATTACAATGACCTTGAGGAATCCCTAAATAGAACTACAAATAGGTGCATCCAAATGAGGTATAAAAGTAGGATTGATATTTGATTGAAATGTTGAAAATAGATGTACCTTGTTGGTATGAATAGTAATATTAACCCTTTTAAACTAATTTCAAGTATTACAATGGCGAAAAGGAATCACTAAATAGGACTACAAAATACAAATAGGTGCATCCAAATGAAGTAATTGATATCTGGTTGAAATGTGCAATTAACTTCACATGGAGTCGCTTAGTACAGTGTAAATCATTAAGCTTATGTTTAGTTAATTAATTCCACTGGATGTAATCAAGCAGGTTATCTCATATCACAAAGTCATTGTAGTAATAATTTAATTAACAATTTACAATTTTCAAACGGTAAAGAGCTTTTGTCAATATACAAAATGAAAGAAAAAACAATTAATAATGTCCATGCATCCTACGTTAGTACATATAAAACGTTCCGCGAGTTTTGCTACATGAATTTACCTTACCCTATATCCGTCTCAAGTACAGAACTCTGTGATAGTTCCAAGGCTCAGGAAAATTTGTCATTGTTCCGTCTCCCATATAAGTGGAGGATTTGTAGGCAAAGAAAGGAGTGATGAATTTCATTTACCAGCGGGGATGATCATCTTGGGGGGTCAGGGGTGGAACAGGTTTCCATTCAGGTGTTTCATCCCAATACATATCATAGTATATGTGACCTGGTGTTTTCTTTTCTACGCAACACCATATCCCCACGTATCGCTTCACTCGCTTTCTGAATCTTTCTTCCCTTCCCTGATTCATGCCCAAAAAAATCACGGGTTGACAGGTCAAGTCAGATAGTAAAAATGTCACTAGGTGGGAATCATGTTACTTTTAGTGTAGAGAGTATTATCGGTTGCTTTTACTAGTAGCCCGAATTAGTTTCCTAAAATTCTTACTTTTAGGGAGCATTTGGTTCACATATATGGAGAGAGAGAGAGAGAGAGAGAGAGAGAGAGAGAGAGAGAGAGTTACCTTGTCAGAGAAACCTAGGAAGGCATCCTGCATTGATGAGAACTGAATCACTTTGACATCCTTGAACGAGGAGAAAACTGTCTTGAACTGTTTATAATGAACTCATTATATATCCACTCACATATACAAGCAGAAGAAAAGAAAAGAGGAAAAAAGAGCACACATTTTTTTTATCAATGACATGAAGTATATTATCAGCAACTTGCCAAAAAAATTATATCATGCACAAAAGATTTTGATATTTTTATTTTTAATTTATTTTTTATAATCCCTCGTTCAAGACAGTCTTTTAATGCACAAAATTTTCCTTTAAAGCTTTTAATCCTTTTTACATTCAATAATATCATATACGATAGTAGAATGTTATGTTGCTTGACAAAACATGCATATAAAAGTAACATATCATAAAAAGCTTATGACTTTAGTTGACCTTACTGCACAAACCATTTGTTTTAGTATTGAATTTTTTGTACATACAAAATTTTCAATTACCGTGGGGCAAGATGCATATCATTGATTAGCAATAAAAAACAATAGTCATTAGTAAATTTCTTTCAATACCCTTTCTTCAGAACTATTCTTGGGGAATTTAAGAATTCCTTTTTCGCCTGTGCTGTTAGAAAGTTGGCAGCCTCTTGATTCTTCTCGGCATAGTTGCACATCAAGCCGAGACTCTTTCACCTTGAAGACAAGATAAATTGAATTAAGGTATAGAGACCAAAGCTTTTACAAGCATAGCATGAAAAGATTGATTTATAAGGTCTACATATACACCTCTCTGGGCATTGATGGATTTTCAAATAAAGAATATTCTCTAAAACTGATCCCAGGTCCAAATTCTTCTTCTGGTAGTTCTTTCAACATAATATTAACCTGCAGTAGCATGTACCACAAATGTGGTGTTTGGCAAAATAAGAATCAGAACTGCACTGATTCTTCTGGATTTTTCCGAGTTCTCTAACATTTTGAGAGCCACTGAAGGTCAAATTTCCAAGCAAATTAGCAATTAGTATGCATTAAAATAAAAACACATGCATCTAAGCATGCGCAGTTGCACATCTACTGATGCAAAATGGGACATTTTTAATTGCTAATGATATTAACACACCCAGGTTAAATGAATACAAAGTTGAGTAATAGAAAAGCTAAACAAAGTCAGAGTAAGTGTTAGGGATATTCTATGAAATGCATTAGTACCAAAAATTAACTCAATAAAGAGTGGACTTCAGTTCTACTTTTACATCAATACACAGATAATAGCACCTCAGGGCTTGATAACAAAACTGAATGTTACACGGCTAAACCGCTTTTGTATTATTATTATTATTAATATTATTATTTTTAGTTAAATGATAGGTTTCTTTTTGGAGCTTGTTGCCTATCCTGTGTGCTTAGGTGGTACCCTGTTGGTGTATATAAAGACAACCCTATTAATTACAATTTAAAAAATGCTTTTAAGCTACTATACATGTTTTATGCCTATTTAATATTCCTTTTGGACGAGCTACTGACGGGTCAAAGCTCAAAATGTTCTGATGATATTTTCATGTGCCCTTTTAAAAAGCCAAAAAAAATCCAAAGTGCCGTAGTGATAAAATTTTCTTTTGGAAATTCCAGTCAAAACACTTGGGAATTGTATGTTAAATGTTACTACTGTTTTTTAGTAGAACCGCTTTTAACAAAGGCACATCCAAACGAGCTCTACATCCAAGGATAAAACATGTCATCAACAGTAAATTACATGAAGCAATTTGAATAACAGTTTGAAACACATCCTTGTACCTCAAACACATGATCCAAAGGACAAACAAAGGGCTGCCTTGTCATGGAGCCTACCAAAACACCAGGGTGTCCAAACCATAATCTATCCAACCTACACCATAGTGGAGGCATCACCTACGATCATAAAGAATGGTAAAAAGAATCACGATATTGCCTGGTTTGGGTATATGCATGAAATCCAAAAGAACATTCAGCAAAACAAGAATGGCCAACACAGACATTGTAGGCAAAATGAAGAAGCAATTTAGACACCAACCAAAGATTGTGCCAAAAATAAAAAAGAAAGTCACAATTCAAGAGTTTGGAACCAGAGTCCTTGAAAGTAAAAAGTTCATATATGGTTTCTTTTATGCTCATTGGGTTTTGGAGTCCATATCACTTTTAAGAATATTGTGTTAAGATATCACTCCAGGAAATACAGAACACTACTTATTAGCCTCTCAATGAAAAAACATAATCATTCCCTTTATGCAACTTAAAGAAAAATGAATAACTAACATGTCATATTTTGAACGAGTTAAATCTCAATTCTGTGCCTATGTTATTGTATTTTCACTCTTTTGGGTCATCTAGTTCCAAAACAACAAAATTTGATCCTTGACAATAGAAAATAAGCCTTTTAGATTCAAAAACCAGATTTGTTACTTGATTAGGATTACAAGTGGCAAATGTTGGTATCAAATGAGACAACTTTAGTAAGACTCCATACAAAAATACTCCAAATACAAATATGATTACTTCCAGTTTTAGTCTCCTCAATGTTGTTTGTTTATCACTTTTGGTCCTAGAGTTTAAAATCAACAAAACTTAGTCATCAACTATTGAAAATGTGCAACTTTTTTTCCTCCAAAGACCAGAGTGCTCCCATATAATTTAAGTTGGGTATCAAATTTGGACAGCTTTGAATTCAAGTATAAAAATGGAAAACCCAATACTTAAGGGACTAAATTTAGAAATAAACCTATTTAAAAAAACCTACACATAAGAATGAAAATTTCAAAATTTTCTGAGTTCTCACCAATGTGCGATTTAGCAGTGAAGCAACAGAAAGTGCAGTCCTTATTTGTTTAATCTGAAAACAATGATTAATGTGATTAGTGTTGGAAAAATACAGTTTCAAAATAATAATAAAAAGTTGGATGAAGTTAGAAATACCAACTTGGTAATTAACAAGAGAGAAGTGTGACTCAATATTATTTTCTCCATCTAGTAATAAGCTTTTGGGAATAGATGGTCTAAATGACAGAAAGCCTCCTGCAAAAGTTTTAAATTTGAGATCACGGCATTGAACAACTAGTCATTTTTTCGCAAAGCGTGTGATAGAAATATTGTGCTTGTGCATAGACTCAAGCAAAATCCACTAGACCACTACATATAATTGCATTTCCACTCACCCAATTTAGTTGTGAACTTGTGATTAATACCTTTATACCTTTGACTAATCTTTTCATGACAGTGTCTTTCTCCTGCTACTACTATGTACCAGAGCTCTCCAGACTACACACTAAAAAGATCTTCTGAAAATTCTTGAATTTTTATCTAACTTAAATTAAAAAAAAAACTTATATCAACGTCAATTCAAAAAGAAAAATTCTACTGAACTAGATTCCAAAGAATGTTGGTGTCAGTATAAATAAAAAAAAAACACAATAAGTACCCAAGAAAAGAGAAATATAATATGACAGGAAAAAACCTGGCGGGTTGTAGTATTCTAATGGATCAAGGAAAACCTTAGCTTCGCGCAATCGATGGCGCTTCCCTTCAGTCCCTCCATATTGGAATGTTGTATGTACAGCATAAGGCTCTAGTTTGAGTTGCTCGTACATCATCTACCAAAGTATTGTAACCGGAATAAAAGAGCATTTTATAAATACTTGGCAGTGACATTCACCAACTAAGGCGGAGTGCCAAAATTGAATTTTGGACACAACAACCTACAAAAGTATGAATCAAGAAAGCCTAGAAAGACAAATATGTTCCTAAATAAGGGAAAAGCACCTGGACAAAATAAGTGTGTCCACTACAAAAGATACTTGCAGGTAGAAGTCCCAGCTTGAGATTTCCGTCATAAGCATAAAAAAGTCCACTGTCATCATCAACAGATGGACCCAACTGTCTGTGAATGATCTCATTGAAACCGTTCTGATCCCATATACTATCATCATTTATAAGCATTTCTTTCCACTCCTTCACCAACTTTTTTGAGGAATCTGTTGGCCGCCAGTGAAATATCCCAATATTGTAAGCAGCGCCAACTGCACAATACAACACCTCAGAGTGAAATGGCTGCTTAAACTGTAGTGGGTGTTCTTAGTTAATAAGTACTTGTACTACTAAGACCAAGTCTGACCAACTAATCACTGAAAACCATAGTTTGCTCTCAAATAATATGGGGTGCAAAATACAGCTAGGACAACAACAAAGATCTTTCCAAAAGTTGTGATCATCAAACAAACTTGTTTTCAAATTGAAGATATATTAAAGCACATTGTTATCGAACAAGCTTTACCTAGCTGCCAAATGTCCAAACTGTCGTCTGTTACTGTTGGTGCAACTTGATCAGTAGATGTCAAGATGTCTGCTTCAGGGAAACGTGCAATGTACGGAAGCGGATTCTGTTTGCGGAACATACCATGTAATAAATGGATGTGATACTAAGTGGCATGTTCATTATTTGACCAACTGTCAAATAAGATAATGAGGTCTAAATGGAAAGCTAATGAGGTAAAGGATTACCTTTAACCAAACCATGTCAGTGTCACACATTAAGAGTTCAAAACCAAAAGGTAGGACAGCATCTATTAGAATAACTTTCTCCCTTCCCATTTTGTGAAATATTGGAGATCCCCATCCAACATCTACAGTACTCATATGGCTACCCATATCAAAAACGGGTATACCTTTCCAGTAGAGAGCCTCCAATAACTTGGTGTCCATCGCACCTAGGGAGTGTATATATGTCACTTTGTCAGTATTTAGTGTTCCATTAGCGTTTAAAAAAAAACTAAGAATATCTGATTATGCCAACAATTATTTTTACAATCAAGAGGATGAAATGCAGTTACCAACTAGTAGGTTATTGACATCCATATCTGTCAAGTGCTTAACCCATGTCAATATGAAATCCATGAATGCATAGTTACCAAAGGTCACAACTATAACATTATTGCTCACTCTTTCCTCGAATAGTTCTTTTCTCAATCTGAAAGTTTCTAGGGATGGCATTCTTGAACCAGGAGGGGGGGCCTTCCATATTGGTTTCAGCGTTTTTTTTTGCACCTGGGCTTCTGGCCCTTGAGGTAGACCAACAGTGGCTGTTTGAGACTCATTGAGCTTATTAGTTGGAATCGCAGTCTCCACATCTGAATAAAACATCCCATAGGAAGGCTAACCATTAGAAATACAATAAATGAAAAGGCCATCGTCACTGGGCAAGAGAGGCCCGAGAGGGAATATTCAAAAATGAATTTAAGAATTATTCCATGGAAAATTTTGCATGATGTTACCACAGGTGATAAAGAGAGGTAGACACAAGAGTACATACTGTTAATTGATAAAACTAAAGTTGATCAAACCTATCTAATTAACAGTCCCTGGCAAGTTTATGGCAAGAAATTTAACCACTGACTAACATCATAAGGACTTCACCTATTACACAGTATTTCTTTGTAGACCACTCATCTAAAGTTAACCAGTGTCAAGTTGCCTCACTAACATCCGTAGTTGTTAGTCCATGGACTGAACGTACCATCAACTTGGGATTCAGACGGCACCACATCAAAGCATAGGCCTCTTATATACCAAATGTAAGTATTATTAGCACTGTCAAGCAAGGCAAGACCTAATGCATTACTAATCACTACCAAATATGAGAATGTTGAAGGAAATTGAACAGTCCTATATAGTATATACTCCTTAGCCCTTATGACCAGTAAGCTCAAAACTTTAAGAGCTTAAAAGCATTCAATTAAGTCACAAACCCAATATTTTTGTAGCTTTCCACCTAATAAAATACTTAAAGTTCTACTTTGTTGTTTCGATGCATTAACTCTGTGAAAAATAACTAGATACAGTACTGTAGCAACGCTTTGAATAGCACATGCAGAAAATGCAAAAAGAAAAGGAAAAAACGAGAGAGAGAAAACACTTCCTTTCTGGGTTATCGGCTGGTAAAAATTGAAGCAGTATACACGGAGATGAACTGAATAATACGAGTACAATTTATGCATATGATGCAATCCTCGTACACACAAATGTAAGTGAGGGTACGTGCCTGATGAAGATGAGGGAGAATCGTATGCGATGGAAAAGGCGGATATAGGCGGGGAGGAGGTGGTGGATGGGGAATAGACCGCAGAGAAGACATAGAAAGCCGAGAAGAGAACGCCAACAGAGACAGTGGCGTAGATCGTTAGGAACAAAGGCTTGGAATTGGCCACCTCCGGAACCATTTTCCTTCTCCAGACACAAAATTCGAGGCCGATCGCTCTACATCTTCATTGCCGAATGGAATCCAGAGCAACTAGCTAGGAAAGGCTTCACCTAAGTCAACCGTGTCTGGTGCCACCCGCCCACCCATGATGTGAGTACCAGCTTAGTAGCTAGCTAAAGTTTATATTTTGGGCCCATCAGTCCACACTTCAAGTTTACTCTATTCAAGTTTGACTTGAATCAAAGTTTGAGAAAGTGAAAATATATAATTGTAATTGACTGAAAAAGGTAAATCAATATTAGTCATACAAAATTTTCTAAAAAGAGAAATATAAAGATTTGTTTGGGACATCCCAGAATGATAATTGGAAAGAATTTTATGGGGTGGGGTAGTGAAATATGAATTCGTACACTAATTATTATTAAAAATGGATTTTATCTTTATGAACCGGAAAGGTGATAGTCTTCTTCCCTAGACTTCTAGGGTTTTTTCGATCTTCTTGATCGTCGATTATTGTTCATTCGCTTTTTACGTCGTTTTTCTCAATTGCGATCAGCATGGGTAGCGAGTTAGAAGAAAACTATTCTCGGTTGAACATAGATGATGAGGAGCGAGATGAATTGGAGGTTGATGATAGTGTTCTCCAAGTAGGGACAGTAAACTCAAGGTTGTGTCTCGTTGGCCGCATTCTTTCTCAAAAGTCCATCAAATTCAATGTTTTTAAAGAAGTAATGGCTGAGATATGGAGACCTAGTAGGGGGTTTACGTTGGGGAGGTGGGAGAAGGGAGAATTCTTTTCCAATTTTTCCACAAGACGAACATCCTAAGGGTAATCTTAGACGGACCCTGGTCGTATGAAAACAGCCTTCTGATTTTATGCCGACTTGAAGAGGATGATGATCCTACTAGTGTGCCATTGGTGCATGAAGTTTTTGGGTTCAGATTTTTAGGATTCCCATGACTCCATGAGGTACTTTACGGAGAAGACAACCCAGCTAATTGAGAACAAATTGGGGAGTTTTGTGCAAGCAGACGCCAGTAACTTCACAGGAGGCTGGAAGGAGTTCATGCATATCAAAGTTAGACTCAAAGTGGAGAAACCTTTGAGAAGCCGGTTGACTTTGAAGCGTGAGTCTGAGTCAGTGACTGTAGATGTGAAGTACGAGAGATTGCCATATTTCTGTTTTATTTGTGGTCTACTAAATCATACAAGGAGGTTGTGCCCTAGGAGCTTTGATGTTGGGTAGGGGGAGCAGCAGCGGCAGTACGGCATCTGGATGAGGGCATGAGGTAGAAGAAGTGGAGGGGGCGTGGCAGTAGGTGGTTGGTGGACGGAGAGGGTAAACCATTGTCTGGAGGGGGCCTGGCAATTTGTCTCGAAGTGGAGAAGGGACGGATGCGAGCTCCTCGGGGGGCTCGAGGGATGATGATGTGATTAAAATCACTCAAGAATCTGGAGGCTTTTTAAAGAAGAGAAAGATAGGGAGCTCAGACAGTGATCATTTCGGCTCGGATACATGTGATATGGAGATTAATGTGTCAAAAAACGGAGAAGCGGCGGGACCTAGTTGCCAGACCCGCCGAGAATCATGAGTTTCTTGAGTTGGAACTGTTGTGGGCTCGGCAATCCTGCGGCAGTTCAAGCGTTGAAGAACTTAGCTCACTTAAACAAACCGGGTATTGTTTTTCTGATGGAGACGTTCTCAAATCATTCTAAAGTAGAAGCAGTGTTGAGGAAAGTGGGGCTTCATTCCTGTTTTGTGGTGGATTGTGTGGGCCATAAGGGTGGTTTAACCTTGTTATGGAGGGAAGGAATTCAGGTACAAATTCGGGGGTCGTCTTCAAATTTCATTGACGCAACTGTCAGATTAAAGGCAGATGATCCGGAGTGGCGATTCACCGGTTTTTATGGTTTCCCAAAGAGAAACAGGAGGAGAGAGTCTTGGGATTCGTTAAAATCTCTTATTACAGTGCCTCATATTCCCTAGATAGTAATAGGAGATTTTAATGGTCTCATGGTGGCCTCAGATAGACGTGGGCGTGTTCGTCATCCTCCTTGGCTGTTGAGAGGCTTTTGGGAGACAGTGTGAGCTTGTGGCTTGCAAAACTTTCCTTTCCAAGGGTACCAGTATACGTGGGAGCAATGACGGGGGTCCCAAAATTGGGTCGAAGAGAAGCTGGACAGAATTCTTGTGTCTGAAGATTGGCTAGACATTTTTGGGGGGAGCAGCATCAGAATCTCTAGAGGGGGCTCCTAGTGATCATTTAGCACTTTTCATTAAACTGATCACTTCTTCTTCTTCTTCTTCTTCTTCTCCTTCTCCTTCTCCTTCTCCTTCCCCTTCCCCTTCCCCTTCCCCTTCCCCTTCCCCTTCCCCTTCCCCTTCTCCTTCTCCTTCTCCTCCTTCTCCTCCTCCTCCTGCTCATTCTCCTGCTCCTCCTCCCCCTCCCCCTCTTCCTCCTCCACCTGCTCCTTCTTCCTCTTCCTCTTCTTCCTCCTCCTTCTTCTCCTCCTCCTCCTCCTTCCTCCTCCTCCTCCTCTTTCATCCTTCCCATCCTTCTCTGTTTTTCGTTTACAAAAATCGAATTGTTCACTGATTTTGTTGATTATCTGTAGAACTTTTTATTCGATTCAATTTGATGAGTTTTGCCATTAACTTATTTGATTTTTTGGGCATTGATTTCTTAGTGCAGATTTCTGATTTCAATAAAAAAATTTATTTCATTGAAAACTCTATTTTCCCGATTTTGGATATTGGGTTCATATTTTTCCAATTTCCTGACAGTTTTATGTAATATGATATGGCAGAAAACTTGTATTTTGACATCCATTTGACAGTATTGCCAACTATTGGTCGATTTGCCAACTATTTTGGCTTCATACTTCTGGATCTAATTTCATTCAAGTTTCTGATATCTTGATAAAGTTAATTTATTCTGATTTTTTAGCTTTGGTTTCATTTTTTGCCAAATCTATGGCAGTTTCGCGGATTCTACCAATTGTATATGGCAGTATAAAGTCTAACTTTTTAACATCCAGATGGAAATATTGCCAATTCTATGGCAGATTATAGAAGATGTTCATATTGATTTTAAAGTTTCCAAAAAATTGCCAAATATTATGAATGAAACTGCCAATATCGTGTTCGATTTTTTTTCAAGATGGCAGAGTTATTTCATTTTTATTTTGTGAATAAAATGTTTTTTTTGTAGCAAGATGGTAGTTTTGGAGTTTGGAAACGGTTGGCGGTCAAACGTTGATGCTTGCTATGACGGCGGCGGCTTGGAGTGCGGCGGGAGGTGGCGGTGGTGGTTGTCGGCGGTAGATGTCGGCTGCAGCGGCGGAGGTCGGCGATGGCGAGTCTCTTGGTGACAGCAGTCTAATGGACGAACCTAGGGCTATTTGGCAGTTTTTGTTTTTCTATTTGTATTAAAAATAAGCTTGAAATTTCAGTAAGGATAATTTTGTCCAATGAGTTATTTTTTATTCCTAATGAAACATGGTAGTCCTATTTGTGCATTTCATCATTATTTTAGTCCTATTTAGGGGATTAACTCATTTAATTTTGGGTTTGACTTACCTAAAGGGAAAGGGTGTGGGGGGGGGGGGGGTAATGAACACTGAGGGGGTGAAAAAAAATTAAATATCAATATTACTCAACCCAATAACACTCATTACATATCACATCCAATCCTATTACACCATCTTTCTTCATCTAATCTCTTCTAAACACTTTGAACACACACAAAAATTTCCTCCAATATTTCGGCCAAACCATTTGAATTTCCCTCCCATTACACTCTATTTATATCTGCCATATCTTTCTTCATTTACTCTCACAACAACAAAAAATGAGCATTGAAGAGCTTGAACTTCGTGCAACTCCTCATGGCAGCCACAACAACACAACAACACAACCACAACTTTCCATTACCTTAAATGCTCCTGCACCAACCAAAAAATGGAAGAAGTTAACAAATAAAGACAGAAGTAGGGTTGTTGAAATTCTCTTAGCCAACTACAGTGAGGGGAGACTTCAGAGGGGCATTGTTACAAATACAGCATCACATTTCAACATTTCAAGGAAATGTAGGCAGAAAAAGGGTAACAGTTGACTTAGACTACATAAAGGATATCCCACTGCACAAGAGAAAGAACAACCGGTCTTTAGGCTTTGCCATGCAAGTTTCAAAGTCAACCGTGCACAGACTAATGAAAGCTAAGCAAATCAAAGACACTTAAATGCAATCAAACCTTTCTTGACAGAGGCATGCAAGATTAAAAGGTTACATTTTTGTTTAGACCACTTGATCACTCATAACCCCCCAAGAAAAGATGGTCAAATACAATCATTTTTATGACCATCTTCACATTGATGAAAAGTGGTTTTTCTTATCTAAGAAAACAACCAACTTTTACACTCACACTACTGAAGAAGATCCATATAGAGCTGCCCGGTCCAAGAAATTCATACCCAAAATAATTTTTTAAGCAGTTTGGGCAGACCAGAGTTTGGGGATGCAGGGGATGTCATATGGAATGGGAAAGTAGGTATATTTCCTTTCACATTTCAAGAGAAAGCAAAGAGATCAAGCAAGAACAGAATAGAGACAAAGCCTACATTAAGTGTCACAAGGGCTGTAATGAAAGACATGATGTTGCAGCATGTGCTGTGTGTCTGCCATAGAATGTAAGTGGCCATACAGTGTTAACAAAAGAGTGATCATTCAGCAGGACAATTCAAGGCCACATGTTGATACAAAAGATGAATATTTTGTGAAATGTGCAACTGAAAATGGATGGGACATACAGTTAAAATTTCATCCCCCTAATAGTCCAGACCTAAATGTCCTTGACTTGGGCTTCTTTAGGGCCATTGACTCACTAAAGGAACAGCTAGTCCCCAAGTCCATTTCCCAATTAGTAGAAGCTGGGACATCTGCATTTGATGCTCTCACAGCCACCACATTAAACAGAGTGTTCCTCAGCTTTCAATTTGTTATGGAGGAAATACTAAAACACAGATCAGAGGGTGGAACAACTTCAAGATGAGACATTTTGGAAAGGAAAAACTTGAAAGACAGGGTATGTTACCCAAAACTGTGGAAATCGGCCATGACATACTCAATGAAGCAAAACGAGCACTCATTCAAATGCAAACAATT